AAGAGAATAATTATAGCCATACTGGAGAGCAGTGATGGACAGTAGGCCAAGGCCACCAATAATTTTAGGTTTACAAACATTATCCCATGCAACCAGATGAAGTTTTCTGGTGGCAGTAGCATCTCCAAAGAACAGAAATTTAGAGGCAAGCTTCTTAAAATACTTTGTAAACAATTTTGGCAATATAGAGTATCAATTGAATATTCGACATGTGTGTGGCATATCACTTAGTTTACCGCGGCTTCTAATCTTCGAGCCTGAGCAGGGTTGCTGAGCCTAGCTATGGTTTGCAGAATGGCGCAATTCCATTTTTCTCCATTAACATTGCACCAAATCAACAATGTTTTGTAAACTTGGTTGATTAATACAACATCTACATCTTTGTTCATAGAGAACAATTTATGGGATTAGATGATATTAAATTTTTTTGGGGGAAAATAGGGGTAATCATGCTCAATTTCATTCCATAAAATGAAATGTTACGAGAGAAAAGAATAGTTTTGTAAGAAAAAATTACAAAACATAGCAAAAAAAAAAAAAAAACCTTACAAAAAGAGAACGAGAAAGAAAAAACAAAGAGCTAACTAACAACCAGTTCTAAAACCTAAAAACTAAACAACTAACTAGGCAATAAAAATGGCCAACAAGAAATACCCAATAAAAAAAAAGATAACTAACATTCCTCAAGCTCTTACAAGCCACTAACCAATTAGAAAGCGAACAACTTGATCAAATAGCAGCTTAAAAAGGAATGACGAAGCTAATACCAATCACCACAATAAAAGGGATCACTGGGCAAAAGAAGATAATCAATAGAGAACCAATTGTCCCCAAACCAAGTTCCAGAACTTAAGAAGGGAATTGAACCCCATCCAAGCCTCCAACCAAACAACTAATGAATAACCAAAAGTAGTTGCAAAAATTCAAACCAGCCAAGACCTAGCATTATTATGTCCATAAAACACCAAAGAGAAATTAATAAAAGGTTTACCATATCAAGAGAATCAACAGAGAACTAGAGCCACCAAGCCAATCTACTGTACCAAGAGGAGATAAACAACTCCCAGCCAACCAAGCAAACAAGCAAGAGAACAACCAGACCACCGAACATCATAATAAAACCCAAAAACCATGCTACCAACACATAGAAAACAAGTATCGAGTAATGCACGATCATTTGTGCAAAGTAGTCATGACTAAGTAGAAGAAAGAACAATGAGAAAATTAGTGAATCCTTGGGTACATTTCTAACAAAATGATATTGTGTGGTAATGTATATTACTGGTGGTAATTATAATATATTTGTGCCGCATGAAGGCAAATTGTACGTGTATCGCTTAATCTCTCTTAAGTGTTCAATATATATATATATATTTAAAAAGGTTGAGGGTCATAATTAAACATGAAATTAAAAAAGTGAAATGGGCTATATAATATTACATACCTACCACTTTATTTCATGCTTTTTACATATCTAACATCCAAAATTTTAATATTGCATTCCTACCATTTATATAAATTTTTTATATCAAATATATCACTCATATATTTCATTCTTACCACCTATACAACCCTATTAACTTTAGTAATTCATTCCATGCACTCATATTTGTTTTATGGGTGATAGACATATAATATTAAAGTTTTAGGTATTAGATATGTAAATAGCATGAAATAAAATGGTATGTATGTAAATCACCCAAAAATATATTCATCAATTGTGTAAATAGCAACATATTTGCCAAAGGGCCATTCAAGAGGGCTGACTAGAAATTGGAAGGTTGGAAAGTATGATCGACCCAAAATATGATAGGAAAAAGACCACTAATTATTATTCGACGAGAGACATAATATGAAAAAAAAAAATCAAATAACAATAAATATCTCATAGCATAATATTTCACGATTTTTTTTTTTCATCTTTAAAATTTCAATCTATTTTTTTGGAATTGAATGTCCAAGAATATGTTTGAAATATTGACTATAGTATTTTACAAATTTGATTGTGAAGTTGCTATAAGAAAAACAACTTAACTATCGTGTGGTTGTAAAAGATAACTTTCTATTATAATTTTTTTTTAAACGATGTGAAAGTAATAAATGAAATTGTTATTGCCATTTGAAATACAAAGTAACAAAAAAAGAACTATCTCAAATGGACCCTAATTTTTGATAATTTTGTTATTATATATGCCAACATGAGCTGCATCTATGCCTTTAGCTGTAAAAATTAAGCATAATAAAGTAATGCTACACGAATTCAGCCATAGTTCATGAAAAGCTGTAATTTGTTTGAATGGATAATTATATGAGATTATTAACGTTTTTTACGTGCCACTGTTAGAATTTTTTCAATGATAATGAATTATGTCAATATAATTTTTTTTTAAGCTGTGGTTGGATCAGTGTTATGAAAATTTAAGATTTCATGCTCGTTGTTCAAATAGAGGGTAATAGCAAACGTTTTAGAGGAGGTTCTAATGATATTCGATAAGAACATGATTTTTGGCACCAAAAAAACTCTGCCTAAGAGAACTTGATCTTAATAAAATGGACATTTTTTTATAATGAGCAGAGCAATTGATACGTCACCTAAAATCGACTTAATTGAGCAGCATTTATGCAAATTAAGTGTTAAAGTTGGAAACATCCAAGATTAAATTGGGACCATCCAAACTCCAATTTCGACAACTTTATTGTCAAACTAAATGTCTCGAAGAGACGAACCCAACGGCATCAAAAGTGGTCCAATCTTGACCCAAATGGGCCCAAATCATGGGCATTAGAATGGCTAGGGGCCATCAATAAGTTCTCTAAGGCGCAAATTAACGGCTCTCCTTCATCCCTTCGACGACTTCAACCTCTTGTCCTCCTTCATCTTCATGAACCATATCATCACCCTCATTAGCTTCTGCCAATTGTCGTTGCTGTCGTTGCGGGCATTCATTGGCGCAAATTAACAGCACCGCATTTTGATGTATAGACGTTGAATGTCGGCATACAATTCCTCGAGTTGTTGCGTGATGTTGGCCTGGTTTGCCCAAAGAGTTTCAAGGCTACTAACTTCATCAGTGGCAAGTTCCTTGTCACGATCCGTCATGCTTCCAGGTGTGGCTATGATACCAAACTAATGCAATTCCGGAGGAGACAAATGGAAGAGATCTCTCAAGTTGAACATGAAACAAAGAAAACTCAAACAGAATTGAGAAACAAGAAGGCTCACGGCCAAGGAATATTGTGATTATCAATTAAGATTTATGATTCAAATTATTATTTAAAACTAAATCTTAATTGAGGCCGGAGCTGAGCCAATAATTGATTAACTTTAGGTAGTTTAATCCATTTGGTAGTTGTATGGCTATATAGGATTAGTGTTTGTGTGTAGCCTAATAGGTTGCTATGATTTGTCTATAAATACATAGCCATTAAGTGTAATGAGGCATATTTTAGAGAATAAAGAAAGTGAAGGCTTTGGCCTTTTTGCTTTGGATTCCTATATCATGAGATGTAATCTTAGATGCTGGATTCTTTCTCCAAGAAAGAGTTCTTAGAGACTTGCTCGGCTGCGGTCACCGGATCGTCGACGTGGATTCGTCGAGCCCACTTTGGTCCGGTGTCATTAATTAAATTTCTCTCGCTATTTTTTTAATATTGTTGCGGGCTAGAAAATACGCGGCGATAGAGATTTAATTATACGTCTTAGCGTTATACGGATAACTATCTCACACACAGAGAAATCAAGATTTTTTACGTGGAAAACTCTTGAAAAGAGGAAAAACCACGAGGCCTAGCCCAGTTGAAAATGATTCTACTAGACTTTGAATTGGTTACAAAGTACTGAATCTCCTCTAAGGGCGGTCAGATTTACAATTAGTAACTATTCGATAGGAGTCAGGTTTAGACCCAGTGTCACTTAGAAGTTCGGGTGTTGACAGTCTGGCCTTGAGCAGAACAAAGGGCCCTCAGCAGAACGTCGGGTCTTAATGTCGGGCCTTAAGCAGAGCGTCGGGTCTGAACGTCAGGCCTGAAGCAGAGCGTCGGGCCTTAAGACGGTGGTGCAATGAAACTCCGGTGGTGGTCCGGCGAGGTTCCTGCGGTGGTCCGGCGGTGCTTCTGCGGTGATCCGGCGGTGGTCCTGCGGTGGTCCGGCGGCTGTCGAGGAGGAGCTTCTTCCTTCTCTTCTCTTCTTCTCTCTCTTGCTTGGATCTTCTCTTGTGAAGAATGAGGGCTCTATTTATAGATTTTTTGGAGTGGCATGGCCCGTAAATAGGTGTGAGATCAAGGGCGAATAGGGAGTGGTTTGAATGGACGGCCGATAGTGAACCCTTCGATCGTACACCGTTCGTTGGACATTTGGAGGCCTTATTGATGTCGGAATTCGACTATCTTGGGCTCGTTGGATTTGTCTCGTCGAGCCGTTCGATTCGAGTATAAACTCGTCAAAATCGGAGACCGTTTGGTAACCCAAATTGCGGTTTGAACCTTCCGACAGCACTTTGAGCCCTTGATTTGGACACATTTGGGCTCGGATTGGGTTGAACTTGGTGTCGTCGGGTTCGTATTTCCGAGACGCTCAGTTTGACTGTACGCTGAAATCGGAGTTCGGGTGCTCCCAAAATTATTTTTTGAAGTTTTCAACTAGCTTTTGCCTCGAGATTCGTGCCCGATCAAGCTAATTTTTTGATGATGTATGAAATATTAATCCAACAAGCAAAAAAATTTAATTTTGATATGTGCTACATCAACACATCAACTATATTTCCCACAAATGTATAAGTAATTATTCTGTCCTGAGACCGGAAGCAGAACATCATCAAGAGACCAACCAGAATGTGTCATGTCAATAGTACCGAGCAGCGGTACCAAGCGGTACTATGCAGTATCAAGCCGCGGTACCGAGCAAGAGATGACGTTGAGCATTCTAATTGATCTCCACACGACGCTCGACATTTACACAGAATAATTTCTTCAATTTTACAATATCCAAGCACGATAAAAAGTCAAGATCAATAAGTTCTTAAATTATAAGAGAAAAGAAAAGAAGAAACACACAATCTCTTAATACACAATCTCTTAATATCTTAAACATGGCAATCTCGAATAACATCTAAACTGCGGTTAGAGTAACAGCAGAGTCACACGCCACTTCATTATTTATTTTGCCTCGATCACACTATCAGGCTTCGAAATCCAGACTACAGAGTGGTAGAAACTTCTAGTTATATTTATTCTCTTAATAATTATTATGTGATTATTTGTAGAGTTTGGCCCTCGTCGAGAGTCAAGAAAAGATGTCGTACATTTGCAGCGGTAGCCTGGGCTCGGCAACGGCCACAAGAGGCACCTTCTTCGGTGTGGAAAGGCCGAAGATCTCGTCCATGCTGAGTTGCTCCATCTTGACCCCATCGGGCAAGCGCCAGCTAAAGCCATGAAGGATGTTGGCAAGGCTGGATTGAATGACCCTGAGACCGAGTGTGTAGCCTGGGCACATCCTCCTCCCAGATCCGAAGGGTAGTAGCTCGAAGTCATGACCCTTCACATCGATTTCCAGGCCGAGGAACCTTTCCGGCCGAAACTCGTCGGGTTCTTCCCAAATGGAAGGGTCACGGTAGATGGTGAACATGTTGACGAGAATGCGTGTACCGGCAGGAATTTCATAGCCGTCGATTACGACGTCCTCGCGGGCTTGGCGTGGGACTAGCATTGGCGCTACAGGGTGCAACCGCATCGTCTCCTTCATGATGGCTTCGATGTAAGGGAGGTCCTGCACGTCCTTCTCTTCCACCCATCGCTCCCTGCCGATGACGCGGTCAAGCTCCTCCGCCGCCTTCTTCATGACGTTTGGCTTCCTCAGGAGCTCCGAGATTGCCCACTCCACCGTCACAGCTGAGCTCTCTGTGCCTCCCGCGATTAGATCCTGAAGTCAAAATTAATTAATGTTCTGCGTCGTAGACTTGAACTTGAATTTTTCAAACTGCAATTTTGAAGTTTACATTGATCTTCAAATTATTTACCTGAGAGAAAGCCTTAAGGCTGCTCCTGTTGAGCTTCACGTCGAGGGTGGGATTCTCCGCGAATTGAATGAGGACATCAACCATATCCCTGGGCGAAAAATTCTCCCCTTCCTTCACTCGCCGGGCGATGTGTTCATCCAGAACGTGCTCCATGAATCGGTCGAGCTTTTTGCCGACGGCTTTCATCCGACGAATGTAGCCCTGCAGGTCAAGAAAGTTTAGCCATGGGATGGAATCTCCGATGTTTAGAACACCGTTGAGGAGGAACAGCTCGTCCAGCATCCTCTTGAATTCCTCTGGGGACACGGGTGGTGGCGGCGCCGCCTGGTCCTCGGCAGTGGGGTCGAGGTAGCGGCGGCCGAAGACCATACGACTAATGACATTGAGGCTGAGAGTAGAGAGGTGGTCCTTGACGAGCAGGGGCTTGCCGGCGGCGTCGAAGAGACAGCGGAGAAGTCCACGTAGCTCGGCGGAACGAATGTGCTCGTAGGAGTCGAGGCTTCGAGGGCTGAAGAGCTCGGTGATACACATCTTGCGAGCCTGACGCCAGTAGGGTCCATACGGCGACCACGTGATGTCGGAGTAGTTGTAGGCGGTGTAGTTTCCGGCGGCGGTCTTAGGTCGGCCAGCGAAGGTCAGGTCGTGGGTCTTTAGAAAGAGGCGAGCCATGGAGACAGAGGATCCCACCACTACTGGGAAGGAACCAAATTGAAGCTGCATGAGCGGGCCGTACTTCTTGGAGAGTTCGTGAATGGAGCGGTGCGGGAGTGCTCCGATGAGGTTCAGGTTCCCAATGATGGGCCACGGCCGGGGTCCAGGAGGAAGGTTCGGCCGCCGTCGCCCGCCTTTAATCATAGTTTTGACGATGAGGGTCAATAAGACTGCGAGGATTGCAGAGTATGTCAACCATGGCGATGGCGGAAGCTCCATCTCCGTCTCCGGCAGAGGCGACAGTACTTCTATTGTATAATCGCGGGACTATCTATCTCTTTTAATGTTTTTGCACTGGCAAATGGCAATGCTTGGGGAAGCAGGGATGGGTTAAGGGGGTGTTTATTGAATGTGTTTGAATAAAAAAGTTGACTCCCAGTGCAACCGAAGCACAAAAGACGACCACCATCCATGGACAGAAATTTCAGGTAACTTACAAAAAAAAACTATTTTGTAAGACTATTTTCTCAAGGATTTAAAAAACAATGCTACTTTTTGAAAAAAAAATTCCAAATACATATCGCAAATATCTTTTTCTCCTATGATGGAGGGGTTTTTCTCTATGTCTATGTAAAACCGTTGTTACTGTGGCAGCTGCATTTTGATTGTGTTTTTATTATAGACATAGAGAAAATCGGACGATTCTCTCTGTAAGGTATCTGCACACAATAAAAAGTCCCAATGATGACAATTTATTTTGAGATTTTGCTCTTATTTCTTTTTAGATATTTTGAACTATTTACATAAATGTTTAATTCTCTTGGGAATTTGACAACCTATGAAAAGAGAAATTATTCTGTGCAGGGGCCGGATACAGCTTTATGTCTAGACGCTAATCAGAATGGGACACATCAACGGTACCTACTTGCAGTACCGATCGGTACCTACTCACGGTACTGATCGGTACCGAGCAGTACCGAGCCACGATACCGAACGAAGGGGTGACGTGGCCCATTTTGGATGGCGTTCGACGTCCGCACACAATAATTAATCCTATGGAATTGACTGTTTGCGTTTGGCTTATTATTTTTCATAAACTTTGGTGTTTTTAAATTTTTCATTGCCTCTTGCATGGTTACCTTTATTCTTTATTTTTGGATCACATTTTAGGCCATATTTGTCTACATATTTTTGGGGGAGAAAAAGATCATTTTGATATTGATTAATGGAATCTCTTGATAAATCCATTCTGCGGGCCTTGAGCAACGATAATTGTTGCTCAACCTAAATCTATAATGACATTAGTCTATCATATTTACGTAAATGTAGGATAATAGGAATCATTTATGCCTAAAATTATTTTAAATTTTAGAAAAATTAATACCATTGATTTCTAATCTAGACGAAAAAACTCAGGAATTTTTGCCATTATTATAACATATTAATTGGATTAAATTAATCAATGTCCCCTCAATGAAAAATTTTGTACCTACTTCTTGCTTTTAAAAAATGAACAACTCTATAAATCTTAATATTTACAAAAAAAAAAAATATTTTCATGCAAACATTAATTTTTTATTCAAACAAACTTCAGAAAATATTATTCGAAACTAAGAAAATATTATGCGTGGTAGTTAAACGATTGTCTATGTTTTTTTCTAGAAGTCTACTTCACTTTAAAGTCTTCAATATTATATATTATCATTGACTTGACTTAGGACTTTGAGCTCGTGCGATCTTGCATCGAAATGACTCGTTGATTTCTTCTGAATTGATGATGAGATCACATAGAAGGAACCTGTGGAAATTTGCACAGCAGGAAAGTTTCTGGGAATTCATTCAGAGCTGAAGGGAAACTACCCAGTTTTGTGGGCGGAATTTCATGAGAAAGTAATATGAGTTACAATTAGAATTGTCACAAATAAGAACTAATAAAAGCTGTTAAAATAATTCCAATTTGAATTATTACGTCCGTTGAGCTTAGGAAATGCCACGAGTGGTTTCTACTCGGTCAGGTGATCAATTCATTATATGAATTTGCCTCAAACGTGGTTAATTTGCCTCCTTGTTGCATTAGATGAATGTGTACCTCTAGATGAGGATGGTCACCTCTTTATAGAGCAAGTTGAATCCATATCGATGGATTTGGATGAGTCAGGTGTCAAAGATTAGGATTGTGTTGAACTACATGGAGGTGGTGGTTCGATAGAATTGAGCTAGGTTAAAATATGTGATGGCTCCTCCTTCTGCAGGATCTGCGACCTGGACCAAAACAGAGAAAGACAAAGGCAAAACAGTGAGCAAATATGGGAGGAGGAAGAATACCTCTGTATTCTCAGCCTTTCTATTACTTGTGTAAAAATGCAAGATGACAACCGAGTGCTTTTTCCATCCTATATGTAATTAACTATCTTTTCCTCTATTACTATTTGTGGAGTATAAAAGAAAAAGCTGTGCTGTAAAAGTAATAATAGAAAATATAAAAAGTAGGAGTGGGCATGTGGTTTGTTAGAACATATCTGGTGTCCCGCCGGTATATGATAAGCACGCGTTGCATCAGTCCTCCCCAGCTTCTTCAGAGCTTGACTCCGACGAGCTGATTGAAATGATGGCGTCGTCTGCTGGCTTATACGGTGAGATATCGGAGACATTGAATGTTGACGACGTATTACTGTCTGGGGGTAATTCGACGCGGTAGGCATTGTCATTGATTTTGGCAACTATTGGAACAGGACCAAGCTTGCGCCGTGCTAACTTGGAATAAGTTCCAACCGGGAAAACGTTCACGCCGGAGGCGAACCATGACTAAGTCGCCCACCTGGAATAATTTTTCTCTTCGGCGTGTGTCTGCAGCCGTCTTGTAGCGGTAATTTGAATCAATAAGTTGTTGCCGAATTTCCTGCAGCATGCTAGAATAATCCTCCGTGAATTTACTGGCTGCCGGAGATGTCCACTTAGGGAGAATGGAGATGTCGACAGCGGTGTTGGGGGTCTTCGTGTATACGATCTCGAAAGGAGGCTTTCCGGTGGAACGGTTGGTCATCGCATTATAAGGAAATTCAGCCCTGGACAGTACATCTTCCCACTGCTTCGGCTGTTCTTGAACTAAACACCTCAGCATATTGCCTAGTGTTCGGTTTACTTCCTCCGTCTGCCCGTCGGATTGGGGATGATAGGCGGAGCTGAATCGCAATTCAGTGCCTAACCGTTTCCACACTTCACGCCAAAAATGACTGACGAACTTCACATCTCGATCTGAAGTAATGCTTCGTGGGAGGCCATGTAAACGAACAACTTCGTTAAAGAAAAGATTAGCAATATTCATAGCATTGGAGGTTTTCTCACAAGAAATGAAATGGCTCATTTTGGAAAACCTGTCAACGACTACCATAATGGAGTCATTGCCTCGTCGTGTTCTCGGTAAGCCGAGGACAAAATCCATGCTTAAATCCTCCCATATGGAGTTGGGCACCGGGAGCGGCATATAGAGGCCAGTATTTTGAGCGCCCCCCTTGTATGTTTGACAAATTGTACAACTCTCAACGAAGCGAATGGTATCACGGCATATCCTGGGCCTGAAGAATCTCGCTTGAACCTGATGAATTGTGTTGTCGCGGCCCAGGTGTGCAGCCAAACCTCCGCCATGCACTTCCCTAATAAGATGGAGCCGCCACGAAGAGGCCGGAACGCAAAGCAGATTTTGTTTGAAGAGAAAACCTTGGATCAGGGAATAGCCTGCGGGCAACTGTGAATCCTGGCATTGCTTCCAAATAGAGCAGAAATCGGCATCCTCTTCATATAGCTCCTAAACATATAAAACAGATTTTGTTTGAAGAGAAAACCTTGGATCAGGGAATAGCCTGCGGGCAACTGTGAATCCTGGCATTGCTTCCAAATAGAGCAGAAATCGGCATCCTCTTCATATAGCTCCTTAACATATTCTAATCCAACAAGCTCCGTCTGCATTTGCGTGAGCAACGCCGCCTTTCTACTGAGTGCATCGGCGACTTTGTTTTCAACTCCAGGCTTGTGCCGTATAGTGAAAGAGAATCGTTGTAGGAATACAAGCCACCTCGCGTGCATTCTATTAATGCTCTTTTGAGTATTTATATATTGTAATGCACGATTGTCACTGCATAAGATGAAATCTTGATGTAACAAATAGGTTTCCCATTATTTGAGCGCGCGAACAATCGCATATAGCTCTTGTTCATAAGCAGCCCATTTCTGACGTGCTGGGCATAGTTTTTCACTAAAAAATGCCACTGGATGGCCCAACTGGGAGAGTACCGCACCAATGCCGATGGAGGAAGCATCGGTATCCACTGCGAAGGGCTGATCGAAATTGGGAAGTATCAAAACTGGAGATGTGGTAAGAGCTTCTTTAATAAGTTCAAAACTATGTTGTTGGGCCGGCTCCCATTGAAATGTTTTGAACTTAAGGCACTCGGTAATTGGCGCCATAATAAGGCTGAAGTGTCGAATAAACCGCCTATACAAATTGGCCAAACCGTGGAAACTCCTCACCTCGAAAAAGGACTTAGGCACGGGCCAGTCATGAATTGCTGAAACTTTAAGTGGATCCATTTGGATTCCATTGCCCGAAATGACAAAGCCCAGGAATCTAACCTTGGGGGTAAGTAGCTCACACTTGGAAAAATTTACACATAATTTATGTTCCCGTAATACTTCAAACAGAGCTTGTAGATGTTGTAGGTGTAATGACCGATCCAAGCTATATACGAGAATGTCGTCGAAATACACGATACAAAAACGTCCCAAAAACGGTTTCAGTACCTCGTTCATCATTCGCATGAACGTCGACGGCGCATTACATAGCCCAAACGGCATCACTTTCCATTCATAGAGCCCTTGAGGAGTTTTAAACGTTGTTTTCCACTCATCACCTAGGCGAATACAGATTTGATGATAGCCGCTACGCAAATCTAACTTGGAGAAGACTGCCGAACCCGATAGCTGGTCCAGAAGCTCGTCAATGCGGGGCATGGGAAATCTATATTTCGTTGTAATTTTATTGACTGCGCGGCTGTCGATACACATACGCCACTATCCATCCTTCTTCGGAACTAGCAAGGCCGGCACGGCGCAAGGGCTGAGGCTCACCTGAATGAACTGTTTCTGTAGTAAATCATCAACCAGTTCTTGTAGAATCACCTGTTCCTTGGGGTTGAGTCGGTAATGCGGCAGGTTCGGTAAGGTGGCGCCCGGCGCAAAATCTATTTGATGTTGAATACTTCTCAATGGTGGTAGCTCTGCAGGCAATTCATCCGGCACGACGTCACGATACTTAGAAAGGAACTCAGAGACTTCGGGCGGCCTATTCTGCGCGTCATAAATCGGATTGGGCTCCGTGAGAAGTAATGCAAACATGGGAGCCTGATCTTGCCATTCACGTATAAGATTGTTTCCCGAGACAAAGTGTATGGCAGCAGGTTTGGAGATGTCTTTGGCTCTCAGAGGTAAGGTGGGTGCGCTCGACAGTAGACGTAATTTCCAACCCTTCCAATCCATTGAGTACACATTGGCTCGGCCGTCGTAATGAACTCCCACGTCAAATTGCCAAGGTCTTCCCAAAATCACATGGCATACGTCCATTTCCAAGACATCGCATAGGGCTTCACATGAGTAATGCTTGCCAATCGAGAATTGCACACGGCAGAAGTCGGTAACGAGGATCTCAAATCCCTTCTTGACCCAACTGATTTTGTATGGCTGCGTGAGTTTGGTGGTCTTCAATTGGAGCCCATGAACAACCGCCTTGGATACAATGTTCTCCGTACACCCACTGTCTATAAGTAGGTCGCACACTTTGCCACTAATTGTGCACCTGGTCTTGAAGATCGCATGTCGCTACGACATATTTGCTTGACATGGTGCCAAGAGCAGTTTTCCCATGACACCAATGAACGGTTCTCCTTCATCAGCTAGAACCTCTTCCTCAATTTCAATTCTCTCTACCTCTGAATTCTCATGATCCTCGTCATCTTCAGGCCCCGCCATATTAACTTGTTGTCTTTGAGGACACTCATTGGACTTGTGTCAAGGTTGGAAACAACGAAAGCACTTCATCGTAGAAGGTCTAGCATAAGGACTGACATTGCTACTAACCTTCTGCTTGGATACATTTCTTCCGTCTGGTGTAGACCCCGAAGGTTCGGCAGTGGGAGCATTTGGCGGTCCAGCGGATGTGGATTTCGGTGTAGTTGAAATGTTGCCTTTGCCAGTTACGGGAGGTGGTTCTTGCCAATGTCGCCTGGAATAAGGAACTCTAGCTTTACGGCTTTGCTGCATCTCAACTTTCAAGACCAAATTGACCGCCTGTGGCATGGACCACACGAAATTGAGTTCCAATTGATCCTGTATGTTATCTCGGAGACCTCTTATATATCGAGCTACCAATTGATTGGCGGACTCGTTGAGATCATTCCGAGCACTCAATCTATTGAATTCTTCGGTGTATTCACTCACCGACCTTGTGCCTTGGCTGCAGTGGTTGTATCTCATATATAAAATATGTTCGTAATCCGTAGGGAGGAATTGCGAACGCAACAGCTGCTTCATTCGAGCCCATGATCGGACATGACTCCGACCTTCCCGTCGTCTTGATTGCACTGTTTGCTCCCACCAAGCACTAGCTCCCCCCTTCAAATGGCACGCCACGTATTGAACTTGCTTAGCCGGATCGATGTTTATATATTCAAAAAAAATTTCCACTGCCTTTTCCCAATCAAGGAAATCTTCAATATGGAGATGGCCATCAAAGAAGGGGATATCCATTTTCACCTTAAATTCACATGGATGATGTCGGTATTGGGGAGCCGGTATTGGGGAGCTCTTGGACCTCGAAATGGATTTGCTCCGTATCGGTCATCTACTTCCTCTCCGCTGGAGTATACTTGATGATCACCCCTCACTGGAGTTGGTTCTTCTTCAGAATCTGATGGACCTAGCGGATCGGCGCGAGGTACTCGTCCTTGTCGCTCGTCGGAGCCTCTTCTCCTAGGAATGACCCGATGTGCTCGTGCCTCTTCCCGATATTGATCATGGTATGCTGGTCTCACACGAAGGAGATTGAACTCCCGACGTATGTCCACGGCCAGCTTCTGCACTTCGGCAGCCACCTCGTCAATCCTCCGATTGACGTTCTCTTGATTTGCCCACAGCATATCAATCGTTCGGTTTCCCTCTGCCGCTGGTGCCTTGCCCTTATCCGTCATTCTGTCTCCAGGTGTTGGCTCTGATACCAGCTGATGGCTCCTCCTTCTGCAGGATCTGCGACCTGGACCAAAACAGAGAAAGACAAAGGCAAAACAGAGAGCAAATATGGGAGGAGGAAGAATACCTCTGTATTCTCAGCCTTTCTATTACTTGTGTAAAAATGCAAGATGACAACCGAGTGCTTTTTCCATCCTATATGTAATTAACTATCTTTTCCTCTATTACTATTTGTGGAGTATAAAAGAAAAAGCTGTGCTGTAAAAGTAATAACAGAAAATAGAAAAAGTAGGAGTGGGCATGTGGTTTGTTAGAACATATCTGGTGTCCCGCCGGTATATGATAAGCACGCGTTGCATCAGTCCTCCCCAGCTTCTTCAGAGCTTGACTCCGACGAGCTGATTGAAATGATGGCGTCGTCTGCTGGCTTATACGGTGAGATATCGGAGACATTGAATGTTGACGACGTATTACTGTCTGGGGGTAATTCGACGCGGTAGGCATTGTCATTGATTTTGGCAACTATTGGAACAGGACCAAGCTTGCGCCGTGCTAACTTGGAATAAGTTCCAACCGGGAAAACGTTCACGCCGGAGGCGAACCATGACTAAGTCGCCCACCTGGAATAATTTTTCTCTTCGGCGTGTGTCTGCAGCCGTCTTGTAGCGGTAATTTGAATCAATAAGTTGTTGCCGAATTTCCTGCAGCATGCTAGAATAATCCTCCGTGAATTTACTGGCTGCCGGAGATGTCCACTTAGGGAGAATGGAGATGTCGACAGCGGTGTTGGGGGTCTTCGTGTATACGATCTCGAAAGGAGGCTTTCCGGTGGAACGGTTGGTCATCGCATTATAAGGAAATTCAGCCCTGGACAGTACATCTTCCCACTGCTTCGGCTGTTCTTGAACTAAACACCTCAGCATATTGCCTAGTGTTCGGTTTACTTCCTCCGTCTGCCCGTCGGATTGGGGATGATAGGCGGAGCTGAATCGCAATTCAGTGCCTAACCGTTTCCACACTTCACGCCAAAAATGACTGACGAACTTCACATCTCGATCTGAAGTAATGCTTCGTGGGAGGCCATGTAAACGAACAACTTCGTTAAAGAAAAGATTAGCAATATTCATAGCATTGGAGGTTTTCTCACAAGAAATGAAATGGCTCATTTTGGAAAACCTGTCAACGACTACCATAATGGAGTCATTGCCTCGTCGTGTTCTCGGTAAGCCGAGGACAAAATCCATGCTTAAATCCTCCCATATGGAGTTGGGCACCGGGAGCGGCATATAGAGGCCAGTATTTTGAGCGCCCCCCTTGTATGTTTGACAAATTGTACAACTCTCAACGAAGCGAATGGTATCACGGCATATCCTGGGCCTGAAGAATCTCGCTTGAACCTGATGAATTGTGTTGTCGCGGCCCAGGTGTGCAGCCAAACCTCCGCCATGCACTTCCCTAATAAGATGGAGCCGCTTTCAATGGGAGTTTGTTTGGAAGGTCTACAATTTTTTGTAAAGGTAATAATAAATATTGATGTCAAAATAGGCTAATAGGTTGGGTTTGGATTTGACCTAAAATTTAGTCAAGTTAGAATCGACTCATTTAATAAATGGGTCAAAATGATGGACTCAAACCCAACCGGCTCAAACCAACTGATAAGAATCTAATTATATAACCTATTTTAATTAAAATAAATTTTCTAGGCTTGCCAACTATATATTTTAGATAAATTGATCAAAAAATAAGGATACTACATCAATAAGCACAAAAATTTGAGAAAAAAAATTAAATATGTTACTTTTGAGTCAAAAATTGAGTTCTTGAGTTAATTCAGATCCAACTTGCATAATAAACAAGTCAATTTGAACTCAAATTTTTTGGGTCGAGTATGCAAGGGTCATTTTTTTTACTCCCCTAATTGTATGACTGTTGTGAAAAAAATTAACCTTTTTGAATGTTGTTATAAAAAAGCTACAGTTTAGTAAAAAAAAATTATTAAAAATAACGAGAAAGTAGTAATCAATTATAAATTATGGTTGTAGTTTGAAAAGCAAAGCAATAAAAATATTTTGCTGTTAATTTTAAGATTATACATTAAAAATCTCATAAAAATCAAATCCATTTTGTATGCCAACAAAGTTAAATATAGAAAACGTCTGAAAAAAAATTATGAAAGACTATAATTTTCAGCACAAAACAACTATATTATCACAAGGAATTTTACTTGCTTGATATCAAATGATGGAGAATGATTCTTGAAGAAAATTATAATTTGAATGTGACTAAACACATAAAAAGAGATCTATTTTGTTGAAGCTACTAATCCTCACGACATTTAGAAATTAACAGCAAAACTATGAGAGGGGTCTTCAATCAAACAAAGAAAAATTTCAATCAAAATATCATTGTTGTGGGCTAGAATATACGCGGCGATAGAGTTATAAATTTTTGTCTAAGTTTTGTACGGATATCCAGGACACAAATAAAAGAAAACAGGAATACCAAAATTTTTACGTGGAAAACTCTGAAAAGGGAAAAATCACGGGGCTACACGTAGTTGAAACAATTTCACTAGTGTTTGATTAAATTACAAGTCTCTGACTCGTCTATGAAATTGTGGACAATGAGATTACAATAGTAACGGTCGGGTTGATATTTAGTTATGAACGGAGATTGAAAAATCTGGTGATGTTTGGTGTTTGAGCTGAAATATGGCAATAGTTGAAGGTTGGGTGGAAGTCCAACGTCAATCAGCAGATCAGTGGAAGTTTGACGACAGTCGGTGGTAGGGTGGAAGTCCGGCGGTGGTGGATCGAGGAGTATAGTGGCAAGAGGGCTCTCTTCCTTCTCTACCTTGCTTGGGTTTCCTTCTATGAGAAATGAGAAGTCTATTTATAGTTTTTTGAAAGTCGCATGACCAGTAAATAGGAGGAAGAATATGGGTAAATTGGGAGTCGTTTGAATGGAAGGCCGATGTTGAATTCCTTGATCGTGGGCCGTTTATTGGATATTTAAATGCCTTATTGATGTCAGAATTTGACAATTTTGGGCTCGTTAAATTCGTCTCGTCGAGCCACTCGATTCGACTATAAGCATGTCACATATGAAAATCGTTTGGTGATCCAAATTATCGTTGAAACCTTTCAAATGTGCTTTGGGTCCTCAATTTAGTCCCATTTGGGCTCGGATTAAGTCGAATTTGGTGTCGTTGGGTTCATATTTTTGAGACGTTCAATTCGATTGTAAATTTGCTGAAATCGGAGTTCGAATGATCCCAATTTTAATTTCAAAAATTTCCAACTTGTTTTTTCCTCGAGATTCGTGCCGATCAAGATAATTTTTTCTGATAATAATATATCAATCATATTATTCATCAAAAGATAGAGAATGCTGCCTGCTTTCTTAGATAGTTAGATGCTTATAACCTTACATAAGTTAGATAAAAATTAAATCTACGAGTAAATAAGATTAAAAATGCTTCATTAAGTCCCAATTGGTTCAATTAAAATATTGACTTTACTTCATGATATAAGAAATAAATAGACTAATTTTATAATTTTGATTATTTTATTTATTATTTTAAACTCTTCTTATTTCCATCTTAATTGACATGCTTTCCCAAGTTGAAAGAGAAATAAAGATAGATTCTCATGGAATTTTTTAATTTTTAATCAGTAAAAACTAGATCATACCGCATAACTCTTTTAACTAATAGGAGATTAGTTCAGGGCTCCCTTCACTTGTGTTCCGTTTTGAACGGCAATTATTTGTTATAATGATGGTTG